CTCCCCCCACCAACCAATTTCTGCAGCTCTGTAACTGCATCCCTGCCCATCCTCACTCTTCTGCCCCCAACCCTCACCTCCTTGTACCCCCAATATGTTTTTTTCCCAATAAAAAAATAAAAAAAAATCAGAAACAGGACATGCATTACAGATTGAAAGTGGGGGTAAATTTGTATGAATTGTGTACCAGGCCAGACTCATACTTGATCCTCCAGGGGGGTTTGCAGAGGTTTTAAATTGCACAAGAGGAGATTGCCCATCTTTCTCCTATAAAGCAGATGGTGGATTCAAACTTCGTGCCTCTGGATTGGCAGCACAGCTCTTTACTGAGTTTGTCACTATAGAGTGAGTGCAATACTAATTTCTTTGTAAATTCTCATTCAAATTTCAACTTTAAAAAAGAGATAGAGAAACATCAACATGTTTTATGCTGTTGGAAACTTGAAAATAAATGAAAAAAAGAAATAAAATGGCTATGTTGTTGTTATGTGCCATTGAATCAGTTACAACTCATAGTACAACAGCTCTGAACCTTACTCTATCCTGTGCCAACTTTATTGTTTCTGATGCATCTATACGCATTACCTTAGTAACTGAATCAATTTATTTCATTGACAGTTTTCTTTCTGGCACAGTCCCTCCATGCTCTCAAGCATGATATTTCTGTCCAAGGACTGGTCACTCTCTGCTAGAAGCCCGAAATATGTCAGACAAGGTTTCAGAATCCTTACCTTCAAGGATTCTTCAAGAAACCTTGTCTGGTTTCACCCTCTCTAGAAGGAAGCTGGTTTTTCTTCTAGCAGGTCAAGGTATATTCAACACTCTTCTCCAGCACCACATCTGAAAGACATCTTTTCTCCTTTTGTCATCCTTAGTGCTCATTTTTCTGACACATAACAAGTTATTGCGAAGGCTATGGTTTGGATCACTGGATGTTAAATGCCATTTTGGTTATCCATGGTGCACAGATTTTGGTGAAACTCCCTATTAAAGACAGACTAGGAAACAGGATGTACCATTTACTTCCTAAATAATACGCCTTTGACAACCCTATAAACACTAAAGAAAGAGGATAATTGTAATGTACTGGTAAAGCCCAGATATGAAGTTTAGTTCAAATTAAAAAAAACACAACAAAAACCTAAAAAACAAAAACATAACTGTTGTTGTTGTTGTTATGTGCCATTGAGTTGCCTGCGACTCATAGCGACCCTATGGACAAGAGCCCTAAATGCTGTTCTATCCTGTACCAACCTAGCCATCTCAAACGCACTTATTCCCACCA